TTGGTTTAATTTCCTATCTTTATTGTGAATATTCTCCCATTCTATTATTTTTATTTAAGCTTAATTATTCTGTGTGCTTTGAATTTCCATATAAACTTTAGAATCAGCTTGTCAGTTTCTACAAATGCAAACAAATACTGACATTTTGATTTAGATGCACTGTACATACCAAATAATCAGTGTGTGGGCAAAGGATATACAGAAAATCATATACCCTCCCCTCAATTTTGCTACAAACCCAAACACGTTCTAAAAATAATCTATTAAAAATGACTGAGTCTGTAGGTATGAAGGATATTGATTTTGTGTTTGATTTTTTTATAATATCTTTTTCTAGTTTAATGCTGGGTAAATGCAGACATAAACTGAAAGGTTGGTATAGAATTGTAATTATTCTTTCTTGTATGCTTAATAGAATTCACCACTGAAACTGTTTAATTTTTCTAATAGTTACAGGGTTAGTCCTACTTTTCTTAAGTGAGCTTTGGTGATTTGTATCTTCCAAGGAATTTTCATCCATTAATACAGAATTATTCTTCCCCTTGTCATTCTTTTATTGGCCACGGGATCTGATGTCCCCCATCTCATTCCCAGTATTAGTAATCCATTTGCTCTTTTCCTTTCTTAGTGTATTGATCGGTATAGATTCAGATTTATTCACTTCACTGATCATCTTAAAGAACCAGATTTTATATCCTCTTATTATACTGTGACTATTTTCCTTATTTTAATTGAGTTGATTTCTGCTTTTATCTTTATAATTTCCTTCAGCATACTTACCTCACATTTATTTTGCTCTTCTTGGTCTAGTTTATTAAGGTATGCACTTTTCTCATTGACATCAAAGCTTTCTTCTTGTGTGATGTGAGCACTTGTCCCTATAAATTTTTCTCTATACTACTTTAGCAAAGCATCGAGAACTCTCCTGTGCTGTGATTTTATTCAGTTACATGTAGGCTCTGCTTAGTCTTCTCCCCACAAGGTGCTGCCTAGCAGTGGCCAGGGGCGGTTGTAGTGCAGCCCATGATGGGTATGTTATTCATGGCATTTCTTGTGTTTCTTATCCATGTCTAGATCTTTTATGAGGAGTTACATTTTCTCCCACTTTGACTAGGAAAACTCCAACACACCCTACCCAACACGCTTAACCTCAGAGCACGCTTTTTGCCTGACATGATTTGCTGCCCCTCACCCTGAACTTAAGAGACCTGCTCTGTGAGCTCCTAGTCTCCATGGCAAACCCTGGAGATCCAAGCCCCCACCCCTGCTCCACCCCCAACTCTGAGCTCTCAGTTCAGTGGTATCACAGCACTCTGCTTGGATGCCTTAGTTTTATCCTGTGGTAGGAAATTGCCCACAGATGGAGAACCAGTGTGGTCGTGGCACTCACCCCACGACCTTCCCATTTCTAAAGCAAATGCCCTCCGATGGATGGTGCCTTAACTGCCTTTACCAGAGCCTGACAACAGTGCCTCCTGTGTCTTGTCCAGCATCGTGGCTGTCAAGAGTGGAAGGAGTTAGCCCTGTGCCAGCTACTGCATCACAGCTGGACATCAGAATCTACCTTGTACACCTTTCAAGTAGAGGGATCCTTCAAAAGACAGACCTGTTTTCTCCCAGCAAGTGTGATGTTTCTGAATTGTGGTTACAAAAAGAGCAACAAGAGCAAAGGTGTAAACAGCACATCTGTCTCCTGCAGTGTAGCCCTCACAGTCATGTGAAGAGTGTCAGACACACCTGCCACTGTGAGTGCCCTGCCAGACACTGACAGCTGAGAACCCATGCCTCCACCAGTCACAGAAAGCCACAAGCCTTTAAAATTACACATCTGGGGGACATCTCCAGCTAGAGCCATTGGCAGTATATATTGCCATGTTTCCAAAATGAGAGTAATAACCACAGAGTGAGAGCATTCAGAGGACACACCATGAAAAGACATGACGCTAGGTGCAGCCATCTAGAAAGGCAAGTTACTAGATGCATCTGACTTTTATGTCAGTACACTGCTCTGTAGTAACGGGGTTTTTCTTTTTTTCCCAGATTTATTGAGATATAATTGACATACAGCCCTGTATATGCTTAAGGTGTACAGCATAGTGATTTGACTTACATATGGAGCATGAAGTGATTATTACAATAAATTTAGTGAACATCCAATTATAAGGTAAATATATGCAAAATTATAGAAATTTTTTTAAAAATTTACTTGTGATGAGATTTCTGAGGATTTACTCAATGTAATAATATGAAAAGTGAAAGTGTTAGTCACTCAGTCCTGTCTGACTCTGTGCGACCACTTGTTCTGTAGCCCTGCCAGTCTCCTCTGTCCATGGGATTTCCCAGGCAAGAATACTAGGGTGGATTGCCATTCCTTTCTCCAGGTGATCTTCCCGACCCAGGGATTGAACATGGGTCTCCCACATTGCAGGCAGATTCTTTACCGTTGGAGCCCCCAAGAAAGCCTCAATGTAATCACATACCAGCGTTGAATTTATTATTGTTATATATTACATTTCTAGTACATATTTATCTTATAATTGAAAGTTTGTTCCTTTCGATTGCCTTAATCCAATTTTTCCTTCCCTGACCCCCTGATTCTGGTAGCCACAAATCTGATCTCTTTTTCTGAGTTTGTCTTTGAAGCATGATTGATCTGCAACACTATGTTCCTTCCTATTACACAAAGTAAAGATTCAATATTTCTGTACATTTTTAAGTTATCACCATAAGTCTAGTTATAATATGGTTATTGACTATTCCCCACACTGTACATTTCATATCCATGTCTCATTCATTTTGCAACTGAAAAGTGGCACTTCTTGTTCACCTGTGCAGGTATTTCTTTTACTCCCTTAAAGAAACACTTTTGAATAGTCACTACATCCTATCTTTCTGCATCTTTCTTAACACTAAGTTTTTCTCTGTTCTTCCTTCCTGTTTCTCGTCTTCTACTCACAAGAGCACAGATGGGTAGAAATCTTGAACAGTTGGCATGGTCTGGGTGTACTGGGAGAATAAGAAATCTAAGCAATTTGTTTATCCTATCATAAGCCAGAGGAAATCTCAACTATGCTATCTGTGGAAGATAACCATGGCCTAGAGCATGGGTACATTATCTAAGAATGGTGTGTCCAAATAGTGGAGTACTTTGAAATGCCATAAAACTCAGCAACAGTTATACCTCAGTTGAAAATCAAAACATAGATTCCTGTCTTTACCAAATTCCAGGAATTTGTAAGAGACATGTGTTTTTCCCCAGAGTCAACTTCTATAAGATAATGAAAGTTGATATGCTAACCTCTGTTTCAATGAGGTAGTTAAGAATTTGTTGCCTGATAACAGAGTTAGTATATTTAATATTTATTTCTTGAGAAGTACACATCTTGATATATCTTTTAAAGATATTATGAATCAGGTGAAAATATTGACTTGATATTAAAATGGTTTATTTCTAATGACTGTGAAAATTATAATAATAAATAGTACATGTTAGCTCAAAAATAATGGTTGTCTTTGGGACACAAAAGCTCAGAGGCATATTTCAGACAAACCCCAGTGGAAAATGAGTCCCTTAGGACAGCTATTGATTTGAATCTGCTGTGGGCTATATTCCCTGTGTCCATATTTCAAGGATTCATCTTCTTTATATTTTTTCCTGTTTTCACAACAGCTCTCACTCCAACTCAGGCTTGATGGGCAAAAATGATGTTTGATGCTGAGTACACATCTGGTCACTGCTGACATTAAGTGCCCTGAAAACCCATCCTTGTTGACAGTAGGGAGGGCCGTGTTCTCAAAGAAGTTACTTGCCACTTCTTTGTTTTTTGGTCACTCAGTCGTGTCCAACTCTGCAACCCCACAGACTGCAGCAGGCCGGGCTTCCCTGTCGTACCATTCTCTTGTTTGCAGTAGTAGTAAGATAATTTTGTGGCTGATCTGGTGGCAGTGTGGTATGGCTTTTAACAATGTAACACTTTAAAACTGAACAGCTAAAACCATAAAAATACAGTGACGCTTTATGTTTATTTTTTACACTTGTAACACTAAAAATGCACTAATATGGTGACATAAGATGGGAGGATGTTGTGTGATTACATTAAATGTGACAGAAAATAAAGTGTAAAACTTCTTCAAGTAAATTTTCATTGATCATTTTTGCTAAGCATCCCATCCACTGTACTGGAACTCTGACTCTTCAGGAGAGTCTGATTGCAGGTGTGTGTTAGGTAGAGCTGGCATTGGCTTCCTGGAGCTCCTGGGATCTCTGCAAAGAGATGTCCCCCTGACACCCACAGCCCCTCCCCATCCACTGCCTCATAGAGAGCCTCCTGCCTCCTGCAGCATCTGAGTGGGTGGTCTGGGTCTCTGACAGCATGCCCCTGAAACTCATCTCAGTTTGGATCATCTTTGTGTTGGGTTCAGTGAATATTTAGTTGTGTATTCTCTATTAGCTCATCCTCAACATGAAGTTCAAGTTCTGAAGTTTTAGTCAAACCAAAGGGAAGAGTGGAAGACTCACTCTTACTCACCCTTATTTTCTCCCTCCCTGAGGATGGAGCCTCTTCTCCCATCTCCCACCCGGGACCCCAGGAACTGGCTACAATGCTTGTTTCTTAACATGGTAAAAACATCCTGGTGATGCAGAGGGCTTCATAAAAGGCAGGCCAGGAGGGTCACCTGGATTGTGAAAACTTCATGGACACCTGTCACACCTGACCTGTGGTCAGTCTTCTTCATCTTGCATTACTTAGTCATAAATCTGGCCTCAAGAAATTGGACCCCCATACTGAGGCCAGGGGAAAAAAAAACAACACAGTTCATCATTGTTGCCTTGGGGAAAGTTCGCCAAATGTGTCCCTTAGGAGGTATCAGTTGGTTGGACATGGTCACTAAAGCACCTGACAAATCACTCCATCCATCAGGCCACCTCCTCCACCCATCTCCCTTGGATGCAGAAACAGGAAACAGCTGCTTGAGAAGGGAGCACGTCACATTCATACCCACGCAGTGGCCTCCCCGACACCGCATGAGCTCTTGAGGCTGCGGCAGGGCTAGGTCACCTCTTTAACGGACTGGAGTGCAGTTTTAGCCGGAGTTAAAAGGGATCATCATTAGAAACTGTTTCCTTCCTAATGGCTGTGATGATGACCTTCTACTTAGATAGCTCCGCTCAGCTGGAATGGCCCCAGCTTATTATGTACTTAAAATAATGCACTTTATCAATCACTAAAATGCCACTTCTTCCAGGAGGGAAAATCACTGTCCTATTACAGCCAGTGGCCATTGGACCTTCAACACTGAAGAAGAGGGGAAGAACGTTACCTTCTGAGGAGTGACTTTGTTCTGAGTAATGTGTTTTGGTTTGTTTGTTTTACTCACAGTCAGGTGTGTCCTTTTAAACATGCTAATATTTAATTGTTTTCCTAAGAATACTAAATACAGACTTCATTTTACATCTCAACTAAAAGACAGATTACTCATCTAGAAATACAAATAAAAACCATTGAAGCCCCCCCTAAAATCTACTCATCCACTGCCTATATTTTTTAAGGAAATGTATTTTGGAGAAAAATTTTTTTTCTCTCACCTACAACAGTTTGAAGTAAAATCCTCCACACTCAGGGTGTTTTCTTTTGTGGTCACCATTTCTTGGTGTGTCTGAGGCTGGAGTACAGTGCTGTTCCTAAAGCTGTCCTCTGAGAAGTGCACCTCACAGGGTGACCACCTGGAAACATGCTTGGAGAGAACTGCTGTTTCATAGGCCCTGGGTGTCCAGCTCTGCCATTTCCTAAGGCACACAGACGGTGCCTCAGATCCTGTGAACCCAGTCCTTTCTCTCAAGAAGCATATGGGGTTCATCATAGACACCCCAGAACTCTGACTACGGCAGCCCCCATTCATCTCACTCTGGCCCTAACCCTGTGATTACCTCCATACTTGTCTTATTACATGGCCCTTTCCTGAGTGTTCCATCACATGGTTCTATTTTCTTATGCAGATCTGAACTCCAAGGGGGCAGAGATCTTCTCCTTTATCCAGACAACTACAGTCCATGGGGTCGCAAAGAGCCACCACGACTGAGCAACTAAACTGAACTGACAGCACTTTGCCCATCCAGGCTGAAATACAGCATCTACAGTGTTGGCTGATTTCGGCCATGTCCCTGCTGCAGTGGGTGGCACTGTCTCCATCCATACCCCACACAGCCAGGTACCTGCTAAGCATGTCACAGCTCTTAGTGTCTTTCTGGGAGGGAGGTCAAAACCAAACGCCCCAGTTCCTGTGCTTTTAAATGTATGTAGGACTCCCTTTTGTCACAATGACTCAATAATACACATCGCAGTTTGCCAGTGAACATGTGATGAGGGGCCAGTAGTTGCAGCATTTGAAACCTTGAGGTGAACATTCTCTCTTCAAGTTTCTCTGTCTCTGTCTCTGAGGCTGTCTGTCTGTTTATTCTTTCCCCACTTCCCCCTTCCCTTCCAAACCCTTGAATGCAGACTGACTGTGAACCAGGTGACAGATCCCAGGTTTCAGGGACAGCTTTCCAGGTCCTCACCACATCATCAGAGGTGGGAAGTGCAGCTGCCTTTAGCACTTTGTCTCCATCATTATCCACTGGGTTTTATTAAGTGCAGACTCAAGTGCATTTGGCTTCCAAGCTATAAATCATGAACAGGAACAGTATCAAGGCTGAAGGGGAACAACAAACTGAGATCAGCCCTACAGCAAAGTACAAACCAGTAACACCCATTGTCCCTGTGGAGAATTGGATGAGATTTCCTCATGGGAGATCGTCCACAATGTATGGCAAAGCAATTTCCACCCTAACCCGAGGGAACGGTTCCCGAGGGAGCGGTTCCCAATGGATGGGACATGGGTCTGTTTCATTTACATGCAAGTCAAACCTCCAATTGATTTTTAACTGTCCATTTTATTGTTTGTCAATAAAAAAGGGAAGAAATCCAATTTTAGGGACTTGGTCCCCATAGGCAAGCTACTGTGTATGTAACTGTATCCTGTTTAGCCTCCCTCAGTGACAAGCTTCTCAGCCATGTGTCCTCCCAGACTGGAGAGCTGCAGGCATGGCTGACAGTTCAAAGGTCATGGGCTGAGTCCTGGAGAAGGCTGTGTACAGTGGTTGCCAGGAGCCACAAAGGCTTTGTCACCTTCTTTACTGCTGAAAATGCCAGTCTATTCACTTCTGAGGTTAAAAGAGTAACAGGTTTCACAAGTCATCAGCCATTTGTACCTGAGCATGAATTAGGTCCTTCAGATTAACATGGAGCTTCCAGTCCACTGGAGGAGACGATGATGACAAGGGCTCAGAAGGCACAGGGAAATACCTAGAGTGTGGTTCTCAGCATTTACACCAGTTGCTCCGAATCACCTGGAGACACTTGTCATAACTGTAGAGTCCTGGCTCCATGCCCAGGAATACACATGCACACATGGTCTGGTCAATGTGTCTGCTCTTTGATACAAAATATCCCCAAATGTCCTAGTTCCAAAATACTGTGTTTTCCCTTAAAACATCAATACCTAATTGGGTCTGGTTGGGAAAACCCTAAGATATCCATGGCCTGATGTGAAGCAGAAGGCAAGCAAGGAGGAGGTGGAGGAGGCAGGCCAGCCCAGTCAGCCGCCGCCCCCAGAAGAAAGATGGCACCCTCCATCTCAGCATCCAGTGTGGAGACAGCATGAGTGGGATCCAGCTGGTCTGATGTTGAAACCCCATGTCTAAGGGCAGAAGCAGGAGTTCTTGGTAATGGTTCTGTGTATGTCTCAGTATATCTGAGCTCTGGCACCTTGTGCCACACTGCTAGAAATGGCATCTGCAACCTCCATGATATCAGCCAGTGACAGTGCAAAGAGAAGCCAGGGGGAGAATTGTTGAGGGTCAACAAATCCAACTTTGGCCAAACCCAGCAAGACCTGGTGTCCAGATCAGACTGTCATACAGACTACAGATGGGGAAGTTCTCTGATATTCAGAAGGAAAATCTACCATGGTGAGGCACACAGATGCAGGACTTGATTCCTGATAGGAAAATATTTCTGATTACTCCTCCTGGCATGAGCTTCTAGGAAGACATTTCTGACAGCTCCTCTGGGTGTGAGCCGCATTCTGGGAGTGATTTCTCAGTATTTCTTGCTAGAGGCTTTGGGGAATATCAGTTTCCAAGTTCATCCAGTGTTGGCAGGATTCAGTTCCTTGTGGTTATAGGACTGAGGTTCCTGATTTCCTTGCTGGCTCTTAGCCAGTGCTGGTCTTTGCTCCTGGAGACCCCCAAATGTCTTCTCAGGTTTCCATGTTGCTCCATCCAGCCATGGAGGTCGGGCTTGTTTCACACTTGGAGATTCTCAGACTTCACTTCTGCCAGCCTCTCTTGTCTCCAACCAGAGAACATTCTCTCCTCTTAGGGGCTCATGTGATTAGCTGGGCACACTGAAAATAATCCAAGGTAATGTCCATGTTTTAAGGTCCTTGACCTGAACCACATCTGCAGGGACCCTTTGGCCATGTAAGACAGTGTATAATTAGGTTGCAGGAATTAGTGACATCACTGGGATCATTCTACTGGCACTTCCTTCCATGATGCCATTTGTATGGCTTATGAAAAGACTGCATTTCAGCCACTCCCTGAAATGAGGATTCAGCAGGTTTGTGGTAGAGCCCAGGGATCTGAATAGCTTACATGTCTCATCTGATTCTATAAAGGGCTTTGTCTGTATCCTACCACAAGGCCTCTAGAGAGATCTCGGGAGAATTGAACGCTTGTGGGAATACTTGGAGGGAATAGAGAAGATGCAGAGTGAGGTAGGATAAATGTTAAGAAAAATGTCATCTGATTGAAAATGAACACACCACTAGGAACCTCACTCTGCCAAGGATTCAGCTGTACCTTTAGTTAAATTCCTGGAGGTACAAGTTGTGACGTGTTCCCTGGTGGAACAGGCTGACAGCAGAGGTCAACAGCAGGATGTGTATGGGGATGGGTTCTGAAGGACTGTTGGTGAATGACAGAAATGAAGGTGACAAAAGCAGTGTTTGGGGGTCAGGTGCACCTTGGTTTACATTCAGATAAATTTCTTTGAAAAGAGTTCATGTTCATTTACCAAAACTGACTTTTGATATGAAACATAAACATCTGTGTCTGTGCTTATTTTCTAATTTAGAATATGTCTTAAATGTCAGATGCCACAAACATTTCTTGATAACATATATTAATTGTTCCTAATAATTTAATACATTCAAAAATTATGAAAAGGAACTTTGTAGAAATGTTTCTTAAAGGTTTTAGGTCTTACTTTTATATTTGGTAAAGATCTAGAAGAAGAAGTTTGAGCTAACCAAATGTAAAGAAAGATTTTTAGTGTATTAGAGAAAAATAAAATGCAAATTGTTTAACTGGTATGACTTTGAGATGAAGGCAAACATCACCACATTGTTAGTATGTGGTATGGTATTTATGCACATTATGTGGTGTGGATTTATATGCATTTATTACACCTGGGATATTTCTAATCAAATGAAGAACTGTATTGATTACAATAGATTATCTTTTGGTGAAGTTGATTCTAACCACTTGTTCTTTAATAGAGAACTTTCAGAAATAGAGAAGGTTATTATATAATAACCCTTGGCCACCCTTCCATATCCTGTGGGATTTCACACAGCAGAAACACTTAATTTCTCGCCATGTCTGGGCTTGATATCTTAAATATCTGATCAAGCTCATCTCACTATTAGAAGCAACCATTAAACTGAAACGGGAACATTTATATGTGCAAAAATCTCTATTCACCTGATGTAGATACTGAATAAAGAAGGTGAAAGGAGTTTAAAGTTTTGTCTGAAGTTATAGGCATGTAATTTACATACATATATAAATATGCAAATATTATAAAAATATTTAATGTTAAATTAATATTAGCATATATAGAGACAGACTGATGGAGAGAGAGAAAGTCACATTTCCTAGTGTCCAATGTTGAGGAATTCCAAACTGGACATTTGGAAAGAAG